CACCATCGCGGCGGCGACGCCGGTGCAGTGGCCCACGCAGCTGCCACCGCCAAGGCCTGGAGCCACAAGACTACTTCTCCCCAACGGCCTCTCCAGCCCCGTCAACGGCCTCCCAACGGATAGTCCCCAGAGGCAAGTCCGGCCTCAACGTGGCCAAAGATACCTATCGCCAGCTGCACCACGCGATGGGGCAGCCTCCTTGAGGTCCCCGGTCCGCTGCCCAGCGGCACTCTAAGTCACACTGCCAAACACACCGGGCTGTGTCACTCTGCGCGCGCGGGTCTAGTGCGGGTTGAAAGTCCACTTCTCGCGAAAGACGATCCTCACGACGGAGTGTCTCAAGATGTACGACGCTACCGCACTCACAACGCCAGCCTCGGCGAAAGGACCCCACTTTCGAGCGGTTTACGAACCCCTAACTTCAACTTTTATGTTTTACTTGGCAACTACCTACATGCGGCTCCCCACGATAAGATGCCGAGTTTACGTTGCACCCCTCGATTTCGAGTGGGTGGTTCAGCGGCCAAGACGGCGTCGAGGCCTTTCAGATGCAACAAAAATTTTCCAAATCGGTGGTCATGGCGCCGAGATAGAGCCCGCCAAAGGTGCCCATCACCGCCCATCACCACTGCCCAAGCCCTCTTTGCCATCGATTTTCTCGATTTGATATCCAGCTCTTCGATGCGGGATCTTATCGTGGGGAGCCACACATGCACACACCAAGAATTCACCAAGTTCGGATTTATACCCGACATCGCTCGCTGTGGGTAATCTAAGGGAAGCTGCAAGAGACACACGGGCTAGACCGCACTGCAAAATTCGAGCTGAGCTAGATGATCTCGTCGGATGGATTTTCGCGGATGGAGAGTTTGCCAATGATGAGTCGAAACAATAGCACCTGATCGTTGGAACAATCCGAGACGCGCTAGTCTGCAATGTTTGATGATGTACTCAACTTGAAATATAACTCTTTGGTTGCTTCGCTGAGCGAAAAAGTTGCCAATGAGCAGGAGGCGAGACGTATTCGAGCTATTGAGCTGCTCGAGGACGCCGCTTATACTGATAGTCGGATTAGTCGGAGCGATGCAGACTTTAGTGCAGAGGTGTTACTCAAATGCCATTTATAGAATTGTAGGAATTTCTAGACGTCTTAGGCCGCTGCGGGTGTCAAATTTACCCGACTTATAGCAGAGTTGAGACAGATGTGGGAGGACGAAGAGGTTCATCGGGCGGGTGTACTGGAACGGCGCGTCCGATCGCAAGCATCGGCGTCGATTCTTTAATAATGCCGTGTCTTGCGTCCCATGGGTATGATATTTACAACTAGGCATTATGATGTCGTACTGGGACAATTGCAATCACAGCTAGAGTTAGCGCTGAGAATGAACGAGGATGCAGACCAGCAGTGGATGGCCGAGATCAGAAATTCTACTTACGAGCACGTGTGTTTAATGAAGTCCTTCGAAGAAAAATGTAGTTCGCACTACGGTGCCCGTCTTAATAAATACGTCGAGAGCACTGATCATCGTCTTGCTATCTACGAAGAAGACCTTCTTGTCCTGGGGGCCAATACCGAGCGAAACTGTTCCGCACTGAAGTCGAAGATCCATAGACTTCGAGTTGCTTGCGGAAAATGGCGCATTGATTATCAACGTCATGGGTCAGCCTGTGTATACATACTAACTAACCAACAAGCAATGCAGTCATAGTTCAGAACATTCAGGCGAGGTGCAACGTAGATATCGTATGATCACAGTTGAATTGGAACGTCTCTACATGAACGAAATCGGCAATCTACTAGCGGATCTCTCTGCAGCAGCAGCTCAACTTGCTGCATGCCACCGCAGGGGCCGGCGCAACTCCACACTGCAGCTGTTCACTTAGATTTCCTTGCACAGCGTCACAGATGTCGCCTGGCCTTGCTCAACAGGAGCCCATACTCCTCAAGTTCAAGTCTCAGCTGCAACAGCTGTGGAATAGACTAGACACACAACCTGGTGATCGCATAAACACCCTCGGTAAAAGGCAGCGTGCGCATTGAAGAAGTTACTGTAAAAACAAACGCCAGCCAGCAGGTATACTACTCAACTCGGCGGGCTGCACTGAAAGCCTGGTTGGCGCATATGGCTATGCAATCAACAAAATGCGATCTCAACTTCCGTTAGCTTGCCTCGTATCCCGATACGAGTTTCTAGGTTATCGAATCGCACTCTTTGCGAAGCTGGCGCCCAAAAATGGCGGCACTCTTACCCATTTGGGTGTTGTCAGTGATTACAACTCCTTGAGGGAGGAATATAGGACATTACATGCGAGACTTAATCGTGAAATGTTGGATTATGAACAGGAGAATAGGACCCCGTTCTTGTATCGTGGTGTGCCCTATTTGCCTCTTCTGAGTGAATAGCTAGTGCATGAATCACCGTTAGTGATGTATTAGGCCCATGGCTGATTTCAAAATCTACGCTGGCGCAGGCTCATATCACCGCCACTACAAAAAAAAACATCACAACTGTGGCACAAACTTGAAAGCCTGGACTCAGGCGCAGAAGTCAACCCCCCCCCTTCCTTGCGTCTAGCCAGCAGGGGCCTACGATGTCCCCCAACCCCCACATAGGAACAGTCATATTTCGCAATAGGCTACTGGCATCTGTGCCTGTCGGACACGTGGGTTACTCCAAGGCCGGAAACAACCATATGGCTAGGCGCGCGCATG